TTAACAAAATATATCTCTCTCTCTCTCTCTCTCTCTCTCTCTCTCTCTCTCTCTCTCTCTCCATTTCCCCTTACTATATATTTATATACTACATACTATATTTTGCATTTATGTACAGCAATTCTGTGATTTACTTACATATATATTCCACACTGTACAGCCAGTCAAGTGACACATGCAGTTACTGACTAACCTGTTCTTATTCAGCAGTAATATTTAGAAAGCACAGCAATGAAATCACCTCAGATGTATAATGCTTCCATGAACCATGAACCATAACCCTATTGTTTGACATGAGTTGCGACTTCAAGAGTGTTTCAGTTAGCAGTGATGTCATACAACATTGCATGTGCTGTTAGCAGATAGATAGATAAGGGCATGAATATCCTATAAAATAATGTATAGCAAAATGGGGTTTGAAGGTAAAACTGTATAATAGAATTCAACATTTTTGTAGCATAAATAATCATGGTTTCTAGTAAGCCAACTTGGCATGCTTTGAAATATTAGCTTAGGGTATCATCATTCAAACACAGGTTTTGAACCACTGACATAGTGTGACTAAAGCTTGGATGACAATATGCTAATACGGAAGTTTCAACCATCTTGCGCTAGAACATTTACGGCCCGCAAAGGCTGTAAATCATTAAAATAAAATATTCATACATATGAGCTATTTCTTTCTACTTCTACTCCTTTCTATGTCTAAATACGAGTTGCACAAGATATAAAATAACATGTATGCCAATACCCCAGCAAAAACAATTCAGGTAATTTCAAAGAAGTTGTTGTCCACTACAATTGTGTATATGAGAGACCACATATTAGTTGGTGATACACAATCCCCTTTAAGCGCCTGTGACACTGAGAGGTTCAGCATAGGGTATAAAGATTGATGTCAGACAGAGACAGAGGTGAGTCTACCTTGAAAGGGCGATGCATCTCAGGTCGTTTGTATCGCAGATAAATGAGTCCAGCAACAGCCAGGCCAATAAAAAGCCATCGAGCAAAGCTCAGGAAATTCAAAAGACTGTAGATATCTCCAGTGAAAAGCATTACCATTGTTAGAGGATGCTGCAAAAGATAAGTAGTTTTTTTATATTATGAAATCAGTTTTCAGGTTTAGTAAGTGAATACAGCAGTTACAGGAACATCTACTAAGAAGTGTGTTAGGTGACAGATATGGAACATATTTGATGACATTTTTATTTTTCTGGTTGATATGATATAAGTATTCACATGTATCTTTTCCTCAAATCGTAGAATATCCTTTGGGGGAAAAAGTGCGTAGCAGTCTGGGTTTACTGCAAATTAAAAAGAACACCTTGGTTTTGGGTTGACTTGACCCTAAAAGGCAAATTAGAATAGTTGGAGTACGTTTATTTTTTCAAGTTTATAAAGTTTGGTAAATCTGAATCCAGGCACAATATAATTAGCATTAATCAGCATACCTTGCAAAATAATACTCTTTGTTGCAGCAATAGTTGTCGTGTGCTACATATCATCCATAAAATGTACCCTTTATTGCTTGCATTACCTCTACTTCCTGTGGAAGAGACCAGTCCCCGCTTCTTGCTTTCTATCAGCATGATGATCAGTCTCCTCACCTCCCCCACTGCAGCACTAGAGAAGGAACAGCAATGTTATCAGGTAGATACCAGAGCCAAAACTGTTGCAGTGCATAAAAGCTCTGCTCAGCCAGGTCTACATAACTCTTTCTTCACTGTTACATATTTCCCACCCACTTCAGTGTCTGTGAACCCCTCCTCCTGACTCCAGCAGCTGAAGGATCATCATAGCGGCTAAGAAGAAGATGAAAGCGTTTATAGAACAAGGAATTTAAAAAAGAAAATATATATACTACTGCCCAGAGTTGGGCTTTGAACAGTTTTATATAATTTTGCTGTTTATATATAATCTTTTTTTTTTGGAAATAATTATTTAATATATTACACAGGGCAGTATTGGCTTTGTAAAGAGAAAGCATATCAGATGCTGTTTCTCTTCAGACTTTCTCTTTCTAGGTGAAACTTCTCATGTAGCTACTTGTAGACAGTAGGAGGAAGAGAGAATGCAAGAAAAATGTTTTTGGCAGTACATCTCAATTAATTAGCAAATATGAGCTTTATTTTCATCAATGATTGCCAATAAGAATTTAAAGAAGATGTGTTCTTAAGGCAGTTACTGGTCTCTGTGACATGTTAATCAAAGGACTGTAAAATCTAACTAACTCCAAAAGCAAATACTGCATGCAAATTATTATACTTTTTAAACCAAAAAAAGAACAACAACATAATATGTCACTTTTATGTTTTAGCAGGTGTAATGGAAACTTTTAATCCAATAAATCTGCGCTCCTACCTCCTAACCCTATATAATAGTGCAAACGAATTACTAGCCACAGGTGCTTTAGTGATCAAACTCACTCATAACATACTCCTTATAAAATTATTTTTTTATAAAGCTCACAGTGATGGAATTATGTCACAGATTGTGGAGAACATTTAGGGTGTATTGGTGGTGAATTTAGTGGACATTGAATTGTATGTGTTATATTTTTTTTGAGGTTTGAATATTATTATTATTATTATTAGTTGTTTTGTGCAAAAACACTTTTTTGTTAGGGGGGTATTTATCACTTGGTGAGCACACTGCATCTAGTAAGAAATATAAGGAGTAATGGAAAAGCCATTAAAATATGATAACAGAGGTTAAACAGTGTTCTATTTGTTCTCACCCATCTCATATTGTTTAAACAAACCATCCTTCTATTTGCCTAGAGTTGAGATTGTTACAGATCTTACTATGCCACACAGTGATTCAAGCAGGCCACTATTTCACATTGACATGAGTATGTGGCACATGGGATTATGCTGTATTTATAATGAGAGCTACATGGATTTACTACATACTACCTCCCAGATGGACTATGGTGACATGGTGTAATACTTACCTGCAGCATCAGGATTAATGCACATTATTATTCTAGTTAATTTTGGATATCTATGAACATAAACACTTTTGATTTCAATACTTTTTAGATACTGAATGTTATATATAGCTGTGCAGGCATGGCCAGCAAATGTCTTTTGTCTTATCTACACAGAAAATCCTGTACATCTGACTACATTCTCTCAAGTAGCTGTTCAGATGTAAAGTACCGTTTGTGCGAAGACCACATTGAGATACAAATTAACATCATAGTCAGTTTATAATCTATGGTTGCAGATACTTCATGGGATATTGAGTACTTTTGTGCAGAGGCAACCAACAGATTACTGTTGTGTTATTCATATGAAAAATCATCCATATCCAACTATACTGCAACTCCAACCAATTAAGGGACTGACTATTAAACTGCAGATTGTGCAAAGACTTTATTGAGATATACAAGTTGATATATTTTTCATGGGCAGAGATATCATTTGGAAAGTGCCATGTTAAATGTTAAGAAGAACATGATAGATAGATAGATAGATAGATAGATAGATAGATAGATAGATAGATAGATAGATAGATAGATAGATAGAAGAGTTTTTTAACATTTCTTCCCCCTTTTTTTGGGTAGTGGTTTTCATTCCTCCTTCCCATATGTTACAAATAGAGGTAGCATAATTGTATTCATTATATATTTGTTGCATGCTTATTTGCATAGATCACAATTAAATTGTCACTGGTAACAATCTTTTGTTGAGTGGGCAAAGGTACTTCATCTACTTTACAATACTTGGTTTACCTATCCTATTCAAATACTCATATTTTTATTATAACGAAAAGACTTAAAAAAATTGCACCACTTATGCAGCTTCTGTATGTATATGTACCAAAATACAAAAATGCGGAATGCATTTCTGTAAATAATTGACTTGAGAGAATGCCTGTATCCCTGCTTTATATTCTGTTTGTTGGCTTACAATGACTAGCAACTTCTCCCAAAGCTATGAGGAAGTTTGCCAACAGTAGTCAGCAGCATTGCCAAGTTAATTACACTATGAAGAAAGAAGACTTAAATACTAGTAATCCTTATATACATACACAAACAATAGAAAATGTAGAAAATACATATTTTTTTCTACATACAAAAAATACATATTTGAAATTGTTTCTGCAATCCTAAAGATTAATTTGTTTAAGCATTATTTACTTCTAATCTGGATTTATAAGATCCCCAATGCAATGCTACATTCTAAATCTTTCTTTGAAAAATACTGCCTTTAACAGTCATATGTGGCATAATCAAAAATGCTAGAAACTTTTGTAGATGACGTATCATATCTAACGTATCATAGCTGTTAAAGTGTGGAAGTGGGCACACACACAGCATGGATCACATAAACTACTGGTGATCTTAAAGTATAGTACATTGATATCAAATCGATGCTGTATCTATACTGGCTTCATTTAAATGCATTTAATGATTGTTTTAGGGAATACATAACTGCATTGATTGTTTTTCATTTTTACCTAAAGTTAAGCTTTAAAATAACTAATTTATCCTAGAGAATTGACCCTATAGACATTGATCCATTTACCCCATGATGTATATTGATGTCAGACTGGCCTATGTGGGGCCAATTTACATTTCTTAGTTTTTACCCAATACTGATACTTAACCTAAGGTGTATTTTTCATCATCATATGATCTATAACCATTAAATACAATACAACACTTACTGAAGGGAAGTTGAAAATGTTGCAATAAAATAAGTTACTGATGAAGCAGCCAGTTTGCAGCATATAACAGCTTAAAAGGATCTAAATATAAAGTGTAGGGTTGCCTGACACATTGCTGTTTTTAGATATACATTACATTTCATTTAGCTGAAAGATTGATGTGCATTCACATCAATTTGTTGTAACTAGCAGCTAGCAACAGGATATGGTTAACGCTCCAGCTGGTGTAGCTTTCATTAGCTATGCCTCATGCTCCGCTGGACCTCGGGAGGGGTAATAGCATTATTTTGTACTCTGTGATGCTTCAGTAGGCTCCAAAAATTGTTATACCTGTTTTTAATTAAAAGTAAGATCTTTTAATTCAAACACTACTGTAAAAACTATGGATATCTCACACTGTAAACAGAACAGTGAAGACTAAAGTAATTCTGTTACTTGCTGAATAACATTTTATGTAGAATGCAGAAAGTTACACTAGAGAAGGCACTACTTCCAAATACTGTTCTTTAATGGATGGCATCACCTCGGTCATATTAATGTCAGACATATATACTTATAGGCATCATAAACAGTTGGAAAGTGTATACTATTTACTACAAAGTTGTTTGTTTTAAGGTGACCAGTAAAAGACACAATGGCCCTCCGTGTGACTGGAAAAAATTATATTTAACTTTACATAAGCTTTAAGACTTCTGCATATAGGAAAACCATAAGAACTATGAGAACTGGCTTCAGGGCATTTTGTTTATTATTAAAGAAAAGGTTTCTGTGTTTCTAACAGTTCAAAATATAGGAGCTTTTATGTGGTTTTCAGTTATTAAAATACAGTGAATTGTTAAACTATCGATGTGTCCAATTTGCCACTAGGAATCAGGAAGTATTTATTTTTTAAACTAGACTGGACCTTGCTTCATAAAGTATTTTCCTTATTTTGCAGTAGCTAGAAGTGTATTTTTTTATCCTAATTATGTATCTCTGTATACTGGAGTGCTGACAAAACCAAAACTAGTTTTAATTGGCTGTTTCATAAAGCAAAATACTGCATTTTGGTAGTCAAGGCTAACAAAGCCAATGAGTTTTCAGCATGTTATCTGACTCCACCCTAGTTCACACACTCTTGGTTGATGTCTGTGTAACTCCACAAATTTGACTGACATGAAATTGATTGTCATATGCAATTTTTAATCCTTATTAATCGTCATTATCCTTACCAGGATAACTAAGTATCCTGGTGTTCTGGCAAAAAGCAAAGCTTTTACTGTTCCATACAGCAAAATACAGCATTCTGATGTATTAAAAGCTAACAAACTGTGGCGTGGTCTAGAAATGGAGCTGTGAGAACGTGCTTGCCTTGAGCTCTGCTTCCCAGGGAGCCTTTTCAGTGGAGTAACTGCAATGTA